TTCATTTTGCCCCCAAAAATGTCGATGCCCACCCCCCTCGTCACACGCATCGTTTCAACCAGACAGCCATTTGTAATCCATAGGGGGGGCGCAGAAAATGTTTGGAAACCACGGCGGGGGGGAGGGGGGGGGGGAAGAAAAAGTTTGGAAACCACTGCTCTAGGATAACTTTTACTCTTCTTTAGCAGGCACGTGCAGAGAGAGGGCGGAGGGGGCTTGAGCCCCAGCCCCTTTTATCCTTGATGCCTCAAGTGCCCTTTTTTGAATATAAAGAAATGATACTCATAGTAGCGCCTGCAGCTGTACGCACTGTGTGTACCTTTGGATTTTCCTTTAAGTAAAGAAAAAACAATTGATTTTTTTAATTGCATAATCCTCTTTACTATTAAAATTGTGGAGAAAAAAAGATAATTTGTATCAAAACATTTTGTTGACAGCCCACATCTATGTGAGTTTGCGAGAGTTTGCAAATCCTAAGCTTAAATATTATTGGTCAGGTTATCAATAATATTGTTCATTTGGCAGCTTGGCGCTCTTTCTGTAAACTAAAACTGAATGAGCAGAGTTTGAACCCTCCCGTAGTTCTAAGAGTGGTTGAATGGACCCACATGAGCTTTTTAACTGTCTATACAGCAAAATCTGGCCCACAGACCTCTAATAATGCTCATGCAACCATGATTTTACACTGCACTGAGGATGCCACACCCCAACTCCCTCCACCCCAAACAATGTGTTCCTTCTATTCTTGTGCTATACCTGGTAATGGGAACGTAAAGTGATGCTTTCAGAAGAGTGCATATTTCATGCTTAACAGCTGTAATTTATATGTGATTCAACATTTTTTTTTTTTTTTACAAATAAAACAATGAAAAGTGCGCTGTGTAAAAGTATTCACCCCCCCTGAGTCAATACTTTATGGAACTATTTTTTGCTTCAGTTCCAGCAGATAGTGTTTAGAGTTTGTCTCTATCAGCTTTGCACATCTAGTGACTGAAATGTTTGCCCATTATTTTTGTAAAACAGTTCAGGCTCAGTCAAATTAGATGCAGAGTGTTTGTGAACAGCAGTTTTCAAATGTTGCCACAGATTCTTGATTGGGTTTTGGTTTGGATTTTGACTGGGCCGTTCTAACAAATGGGTATCTTTTCTATCAGGCCATTCTGTTGTAGCCTTGGCTTTGTGTTTAGGGTTGCTGTCCTGCTGGAACCTCCCCCCCCAGTCTCAAGTCTTTTACAGACTCCAACAGGTTTTCTCCAACTTTGCCCTTTATTCCATCCATCTTGCCATGACTTCTGTCAAACTGCAAACCAGACTTCTTATGATTTTCTTTTGACAATGGCTTTCTTCTTGCCACTCTTCCATAAAGACCACATTTGTGCTGTGCATGACTAATAGTTGTCTCGTGTACAGACTCCCCCTCCTGACATTATATTACACACTGCTGGACTCTATTTAGTGATTAGCAGATATCTGGCAACTTCTGAAGGCAATTGGTTGCACTCAGAGAAAAGAGGGCTGAATACTTTTGCACACCACACTTTTCAGATTTTTATTTGTGAAAATGTTTTTGAATCATACTTCACAATTATATACCACTTTGTGTTTGTCTTTCACATTAAATTCCAATGAAATATATTTATGTTTGTGTTTGTAATGGAAACGTTCAGGGGCTATAAATACTTTTATCTCCCATCTCTGCTTGTGAAAACTCAGTGCAGCTACTGTAACAGGAAAAAATGACTAAAAGGTATCAAACTGAAGTTTAGTCAGTAGATATGAAATTTGAAAAAAAACAAAATTTACACTAAATTCCCTCACCCAACGGGAGGTTTTCAGTAAAGGGATGAAGTGCCAACAATGTTAAAAAGGGGGTCATTTATTGTTATCACTCAGATAATTCTTTTTTCAATGTGAGAGCAGGATTTTGTGTTTTCACACTCAATACATGTTTAAGTGCCAGAAGGATAATAGCAGGATTTTAATGACATTGGGAAGAGCAACATCCAATTCTTACAGCAGGTGTTATTTTGATACGTCTCCAAAGCAAACTTTGATACCAGCAAGGTTTTGAAATGTGACAGCAAAGGTTTAAAGGCACAAAATCAGAGCATGAAAACAATGAATTCTGCTCCTTAACTGAAAATGTCTGTTTAAATAGACATTAGGTTACACCCATATAATTAGTGACTTAAATATTAATAAGCATTGTTAAACCCCATTGTACAAAATCTAAAAATGATAAAAACAAGCACAGTGTTTCTAAAAACACCAGATTTCCTCCATGCACATACACTGTTAGAACATGCAAACATTTGGTGTTTTTTTTATTTTATTTATTTCTGTAAAAACCAAATGTACACCCCAAAAGATATGCACAATCCAGAAGTTTGGATTTAATGGGTATAAGCCAGGTGATCGTCTTAGACAGAGGTACATATCCTTTGATGCAATACAGACCTCAGAAAGTTCAGCAAATAACTGTTTCAGCAGTATGAAAATAGCTGAGACATAAAACATGTTGGTTTTAAAAAACATTGTTATATTTTCCAAAGAGAATAACACATCTCCTCCCATAAGGGATTTTCATTTGACATTAACATGGGTAAATATTGTGCATGCAAATACATGTATAAAGTTGCTATAGTCCCAAATAATTGGTTTCTTGTTACACTTTGTTCCTCAATATGTTTCAAGTCTTCTTGTTTGCATGTTTTTTTGTTTTTTAAAACATTTGGTCACAATCATGCTGAAGCCTGAATCAGTAGCTACAGAATGGACTGGGTGGAGAACTGGGGAGGTTTTGTTGCATAGCCCTACTTTTCTTGGCCTTCTTCTCCCTTGTTTTCCTTGTAGACCACCAAAGACAGGCTTTCAGAGAACCCACATTCCATTCAGTCTGTTGCTGCAGATTCCTTCCATCTTGTACAGCCATAATAGGAAGCAAATAAACCTGCCAATAATTTTCAAGATCCTTTGTCAGTTGAGATGCACAAAACAATTATTCTTTGAGTGTAGAGCAGCCTTCATATGATGTCCTGGTCAGTGCAAAGTACAGCTTTTAGCTTCAGTTCACAGGCCTCACATGAACACTTGAAGACAACACTTGAAACGCAGCTCCACCAGTGGGATCTCTGTGACATCATCAGTGGTGTTCTACATGTCCTTTCACATTTATTATGACCCTTCATGGATCACAACTTATCTGCTACTTCTACAATGGGTTGCATCACTTTACAATGGATTTTCCACATTAGTACAGCATATCTTTCTGACAAGTTCCATCAAAGCTGTTGGCTGCTTTATTTTTGTTTACATATTAGCTGTGTCCAAATTTTATAATCCATATTGATAAGTTAGAGCAGCTTTGCTAAAAAGGATCGCCACTGATTCATCAGTATCTATTCATATGTTGACAAATACCAACCGAGATTCCAAAAGATGTTTTGATACCACTTTTAAAATTATTTATCTTGATTCATTCAACCAGTTGTTCCTAAAATCTTAGCTTGCTTAAAAACGTTCCATCATTTTATTCAGTATATGATTAAATTCTTCCATTTTATTTTTTGGAAATAAGAAATGGGACACTAAAATAATGGCAATAATAATAATTATCTGCTGCATATGAAAGACAAGAGCAACGGAAAAAAATATCAAACTCCTGGATGACACTTCCTCATGTTATTGATAAAACCACGTGAGATGAGTTACACTGCTCCACTCATTAAAACACCATGACTAATGGAAAAATCAGATATTTGCATATAATCACCCTTTTCCACTTCCTTGTCCTGCTGGTGTAAGTGTGAAATGGGATGTCACCTTACACCACATAGGTAGCTAAGCAGCCTGATCCACATTTAAAGAAAATATATTATATGGACTTAAATAATTTTTATTTGTTATTTGTTCTTTGAAGATGCTAAAAGTGATTACATGTTTTACTTAGTTCTTTTGTGGGCCACTTTTATACAATCCAACATGAAAATAACATGCTTTTGTTGATAGTATAGGCAATAAATTTATTTTACTATTTATAATGGTGAAAGTCAAACTGAAATAAAAGCCCAATTATATTCATTTTAATCTAAATTATTCAGAAAAGGTAAGTGGTTCCATTGCATTCATCCTCTTCATCTTTATTATTGTTTTTCTTTTTAATCTTTCTCTGTAGCTAAATTATTCAACTATTAAGACTCAACTGTAACTGGCATCACACATAAGCATGCATCATATTGAGTGGTAATTTGAACACAGCTAATAGTACCATTGTATTTTACTCTAATAAATCGACAATGAAAGCAGTGGCTGCAAGTGCCTTGGCATGATATTATCACATTCATCTTCTTCTGCTAGTTGCCTCCAAGGTCAACAAAGTAAATGAGTGAAGTTCCACATACAAAAAAGATATGCAAGAATCTGTGCTTAGCAGTTTACACACTTCAACATACACTAACAGAGCAAGCTACGTTCATTCTCTGTGCTCGGAGCCCTCGCTCAGACATGCTTTCTGCTGCCCAGTCAGACATCAGCTGACCCCCACATGGGTTTACATTGTGAACAAGACAGGAGCTTCCTGGGGGCATACTCTGACAGCTTTATCAAAAATACAGGTGTTTGACCAGAGCTACACTCTAAACATGCACACTATTTTACTCACATCAGAGTCCATGGTTTTACGAGGAATTAAATGCTCACAATATTGTTAATGTAAATTTTTTAAAAAAAGAAGAAAAAACATTTTTAAGGTCATTTGTCAATTCATGATTTTCAAGCGTACTGTAGGTATAAATGTTGCTTGCAGATAAGGCTTTCTGTGCAACATGTTTTCCTGCAGAGCTCCATACAAAATAAATAAACTGTCTATTCTGGTGTGGATGCATTACAAAAAAGTTGATGTTGCATTATTCCCTACATTATATAAATCTAAAAGGATAGGCACTTTGTCTTAAAACATTCCAAACAAAAGAAAATCTATAAGAAATAGACCTGAAACAATGGCAAACTGTAAACAGTTCACTTAAAACACATCAGTGTTATTACATGTTATTCAACAAATGGATACAACAGAAGAAAATCATTCACAATGAACTTCTTATAGAAAACACACAGGTCAGCTAACCATGCATTGCTTTGTAAAGGCTGTAAGAAAGAAGTATTTGAGAAAAACAGTAGTGCCGACTGTCAGCCAGCCTTCATCTGTTCAACTGACACAGGGAATGTTGCAAAAGATCAGATGTCATTGTGGAATGGTGGAGTTATAAACTAAAGAGCGACAGTTTGTTTTACAGTGTTGTATAGTCTGAGGTTCTCTACACTGATCCTCTGATCTGCTATTCTGTCTTCTTCCCCTGACTTACAGCAAGTTATTCTGTTGAAACCACCATACTTCCGCTGCAGCTAACTCAAACAGAGTGGTTGGTGATGGTTGGTGGTGATGAAGAAACCTGGAAGAGGAAACGTTGACCAGTGAATCATTTTAAACACAGTCATCAGGCTAACATTATTGGTCCACAGCTGCTTTAAGCACTGTATGTCTTCCATTGTTGAGAACAGTGATCTCCTGCTGAATATTATGATGGTGTCTGTAGACCAGCATGCAATGCTAGTCTTCAAGTACCTGAAACAACACTTTCTAGTAATTCCAATTATCTAAAATATTTCATTAAAGGCTGCACTTTGGTGTAAAAAATAAGTTAAAGAAGGGCATAACTGTTGAAGAATTGTTCTACTTCTATCAGTTTATAGTAAGGAACAACCAAACTTGGAATTTCTTGTTACATGTTGCATTAGTTTGTAGCTATTCTCCCAGATCTCTTTTGAAGTTTTTTTTTATTCAATAACATTTTGTTCCTTAATCTGCAATTGTCACAACAGCACAGGAAGAACCCCAAATCACTCCCATAGCTGGCCCACAAATTAACAAGGGTGATAAGTAAGCCAAGATTCACAGAGAAACTGACTTTAAGCATAATTTAACATATCTGTTTGACCCTGTATGTGTCTGTACAGTAAACAATTCAAATTCCAAACTTTTCTAATGAGCAAACACATCATTTTAGTTGCTATTAGGTCACATGTGGTCATGCATTTAAAAATGAAAAAAAGGTATTTAAGCTGAATTTTCTATGACATTTTTGAGACTTGTCTGCGGTTCATTTTGGCAATGAAAGAATGGGAGAGAGAGAAGGAGATTCAGTAGATAACAGGAAGGCTAGACAGTTTAACACCTGAAGTTGCTCTTTTTTTTATCAACCCCTTTTGTATTATGGGACATTTCAGATTTGGAAATGTTGGCAGAAATCTCAGAGTTGAGGTAAAGATCACATTCTCTTAAGGCATGGAGAGAACTCTATTTTTAAATTCTAAGTGATAATTTAACATGCTAAAGCCATCTTACAATATCAACTCAAGAATAATTTTGTTTTTGTCTTAAAATAGTAAAATCCTGTTTAAAAGTACTTGCTTTATCACATGACATCACTGCTGCTCTTAATATAAATAATTAATAATCACTCACAGCAGGAAGATGAAAAGAAATTATTTTCAGTGTTCCAGTCTTATGCAGAAATTGGAAAGGGATAAAATCTATGTTGGCAGGTCAAGGATTTACCAGAGAAGATGATTTTAAATCAGACATAAAATTCTGATTTTTGAATCTCTAAGCATGACCTTCTCTGTGAATTCCCTAGCAGCTCTAATGCGACACAGCTGAAGCATTTCCACTGTCTGCTTGTTAAGAGTTTCTAATGTACATGGTTGAAATAATCTAAATTTAAAACATCCAGGCTAAACAAAATGTTTCCTGTCAAATAAATTAGGCTCTATTAATTAATTTTTCCTCATTAGCTGACTAAATATCTTTACACACTGATTCAAAAAAAGGTTGGAATCATACTGTGAAAAATCATGCTCATGCTTGGACATTGTTTGTGATGTTCCCCAGGACTCAGCATTGGGACCAAAGTTGTTTATTTTATACATAAATGAAATATGTAAGGTTTCCAAGATATTTAATTTTGTTTTATTTGCAGATGATACAAACATTTTTTGTACAGGTGAACATTTACGGCAGCTTTTGATAGAAATTAATTTAAAGCTACAGAAATTGAAAAAGTGGTTTCATATTAATAAATTATCACTAAATAAAGATAAAACCAAGTTTATGTTATTCGGGAATTGTGAAGGGGATAGCAATTTACAAATAATAATTGATAATGTGAATGTGGAGTATTGATTCATTATAAGCTGTGTTGGAAATCTCATATTAAATATGTGCAATCTAAAATAGCTAGAAGTACTGCAATTCTCCATAATGCTAGAACATTTCTAAACTCCTCTGCCCTTCATATTCTCTACTGTTCACCTATTTTGCTATATCTAAGTTACAGTGTGGAAGTTTGAGGCAACACCTACAAAACTTCACCATTATGCACATTACAGAAAATAGCCATCCAAATAGTTTATAAGATTTATTTCTATTCTCATACCAGCAATTTATTTATAGATTCTTACCTCTTTAAACTCCCAGATTTGGTAGAGTTTCAAACTGCACAGTTTATGTACAAAGCTAGAAACAAACTATTACCAGAAAATATTCAAAAATTGCTTACTGATAAGGTGGGGGGATATGACTATAGAGAAAACCTCAACTTCAGAACTTTAACTGTTCGAACAACAATGACAAGAATGAGCATCTCAGTCATTGGTGTGAAGATTCTGAATAAACTCACCAAAGAGTTGAAGCAAAGTCCAAGCATGAGGTATTTTAAGAAAAGCCTCAAAATGGTTATTATAAAGGGATGACAGGGGTGATGAAATTGGCTGGGTATTACAGCACTGTGGATGACTTGGGCAATTGGTGTATAGGCATGTGTGTGTAAATGTGTGTGTTTGTGTATATAGTTATACATTATATATGTATATATACAGGTAGATGTGTATGTGTATACATAGGTGAGTATGTATATTAGTGTGTGTGTTATTTTCATCTGGTTCAGAAACTATTTTTCTTTAGAAGGGATATGGGAAATGGGAAGATTACTTATGTTATGAATTACTGAATGGAAAAGGGGTATGATTATGTAAGTTAAACTTCATCATGCTCCTTTTCAGGCTCACAGTCACGGAACAAGTGGAGCATTCACATGTATATGAGTATGTATATTTGGTAATAAGGTGTTGTATTTACACTTATAAATATGAAAGTCTTACTTTGTTATGTTTTGTTGGTGAAATGTCTGTCTGAAATAAAAAAAAAAATCATGTAAAAAAAAATTATCAAAATAACACGCTGGTATTTTGTGGTTAGCATACTAAAAATGTCTGCTCAGAGACATCCTTCACAGAATTTCAAGATTTCACTTTGCATGAATACTTGGGAACAGTGCAAGTTCCATAACTAAACAGAACCAAGTGGATTCATCACCAACATGAAGAATAAAATGGCTATTTGAGCCTGTTAAATCATCATTGAAAATGGGGATCTGTTATAATTGCTGACTTATGGAAGGACAAGTTAGTGCAGCTTTAAGTTTTAATAAAAGAACTATTGGTCAAAAAGTTAGCTACATACACACACCACAACTCATTTTCTCCACAATGGCAAAAGGCATTATGTGTAGCACAATGGCCATCATGAGGAAAACACCCAGGTCCCTCACTGAACGCTACGTTTAAATAAGACAAAATAAAGGCTGAAGCTGGTCTGCATAAGTCTTATCTAAAACTGTAAGACTCTTATCTGTTCAGGTTGTAGAGTATTATTACTAGAACATGGAAAATGATTCTCCCATTTCAATTATTCTTTCAAGCTCAATATGGTGGTTTCGACAAAACACTGAGGTAAAAAACACCCTAACAACTGCCAGACATATGTGTCTCCTTTTGGAAAGGAAATGTTTTTTCTCTTTCATTTTAGAATGCCATGTGAAAAATCACCTTAACTTTCTGAGCTAGAATACAGTATTAAACACAAAGTGACCATGTAAACTAAAGCCTTCAGAAAAGCTGATAAAAACCCATCATAATGCCTCAAAAATGCATTAAAAAGGTTGGTTTAAAGCCATGGTAGCACCATTCATTCCCATCTACCTTCTGTACCTCAGTGCCCTGTATCCAGTGCCTGGGCTGGTGCTGCCCCCTAAACTTAAGTGGTACCCATTGGGCACACTCGGATCTACACCAAAAGTTGGATGTAGGGCTCCCATCATTCGAGGCAGTGTGGTCCGGGGTGACTGTTCGGCACTAGGGGTAGGGGACAGTGATGCCACATCCTGGAAGACATCCAGCTGGTTCTGGAAGCTGCTGTAAGGACTTCCCAGGGCATCACCATGGCCCTGGCCCAGAAAGGGCTCTGAGCTGATACGAGTGACAGGGCAGGGGAAGAAGTAGGAACCACTATGACGGAGGGTGTTGTGTTCCGACAGGCCACGGCTTAGTCGGCCAGGACTCTGAGAAGCCTGACTAGACACAAAGTGCACTTGAGAAGGGTATGCAGTCTTATATCCCACCCCAGGCCGTGGGGTGTGTGGGACTTGTGGGAGCTGCCGGCGTCCACGGCTTAGTGTGCTAGAACCGGATCTTGATGCATCTGGGCTGCCTTTAACCAAACCACTGCCCTAGATGAAAATTGAACAAGCAATTTGAAATGACAGAACAATGAGCAAAATATGCATGAAAAGAAAAAGGATCAACAGGAAGACAAGGACAGAAAGAAACATACATTAAGAGGTGAGAGATACAACAATGATAGACAGCAAAGTTGAACAGAGAATACAAAGAAAATACAAAAAAAAGAACAAACACCAATGAAATGGGAATGACCGACAAAAATTCAGAAAAGGATGAAAGGAGAAAGTGGGAAAAAAGTGAAAGCGAATGAGAGACTGTACTAAAAAAAGACAGAGTAGAAAATGTCTTCAGACAATAACACCTTTCAGATCAGATATCCTATCCAAAATCTACACATCTTCTATTATATGCATTATAAGCAGCTGAAGATCAGACATTCCATGCTGGGACCTTTTTACTCAGACCAATCTTCCAATTATGTACCACACACTTTGGTTCTGTGATCCCAGCTGCATAATCAGGAAGCACACATGGCCTGTTACTGTATGTAAATCGACATATTTGTGGGTGCATGCTTAAGAGAAAATCTGATCTGAAAGGGGCTAATGTTTGTAGTTAAAAGGATCCATGATTAATTGCAACAATAGACTTTATTTGAGAAATATTTGTTTTTGAACAAGGTAGTGCTTTTTATGTGAGTATATGAGCAATATTTTGAATTATTAATGAAACTACCAATCATAATCTCCGACAAGGAGTTAGTACATTCTACAAAGATAATCAATGAATTCTAAAGGTTATGTTACGAATGGCTTTAATGTATCCAAATAAATTAGGAAAGTGTGCCTCCATCATCTGTTCTGTTCCAGTCAGCTGCAGCCTCCTACCTGCTTTTTGCTGGTTTCCTGCTCCTCTCGGTAGGAGCAGGCGGCAGTAGCAGATTTGGGACAGCAGCGTTCCCGGCTGCAGTAGCGGTCACAGGAGTAATAGCGTTGCTTGTCTGCTGAGGAGTGATGGTGTTTCCTTTCATGGGAGCGCCCACGTTTATGAGCTCGCTCTCTGGAGGCAGCAGGTTCATATGCTGGCTCTTCTGGTCCACCTTAAATGAGAAGAATATGTTTATTTATTTTATTATGACATATTAACCTACACTACAACAATTTATAGCAGCGTAAATATGCAGGAATTACCACAATAGCTAAATTTCATCTTTTGTCCGAAGACAAGTAAGGACAAAAAAACCAAACACCTCAATAAACAATTCACAGAACAAATACAGCACAGGCCCCCTGTCTACTTTTGAGACCATGACATAAAACTTGTCTTTTTGATAAAGACTAGAGTTACTGGCTGAAGGCAGCTATCTCTGTAGCTGTGCTGCCATAGGTTTAGGCTGCTCTCACTCTGCTTTTCTCTCCCTTTATGCATTATTTTTAGTTACTGTTGTCATAAATTTTGTGTACCCTCTGATTTTCTTTTCTAGGATTACACACCTGATCCAGAGAGTCTGTGTTTAGCTGTGTGTCTTTCATTGACAAAGCTATTGTGATATACTATCACTGCTATGAATTAATTTCTCTTTCCCAGTGAAAGTAGTCCTGGTCCAGTCCTGCCATGTTTGTGTTGTAATATGGCTTGGGATTAAATCATATGAGAATAGGAGTAACATAAATGCACTGAACTTAAATTATTTTTAATTCATTACCTTTAAGATTTCAATAGTTTTAGATTTTAGTACTAATCAGTAGTTTTGATGGGATTATTTTTGTCGAAGTCTTTTTCTGATAGAAAAATAAAATATCAAAGAAAAGTCTAAAAGTAGTGGGAGAGACCGTTTTGCACTTGACACAATGGGTCAATCCACTGTTTTACAAAGTGATCTTCTTTAGAAACAACTTTCTGTACTGTTTGCTGACTGACCAGCTGAGTTGGGAGGTTGGCCCCCAAAAGGGGTATCCAAAGACCCTTGTCTCTTGTCTTTGTCTCGGTCTCTGCGGTGATGGCAGTGATGGTGGTGGTGATGGTGATGTGTTCTCTCATGACGAGGTTTCTCCAGGGTGTAGTTCCTAAGGTTAACCTCCTGGGGCCGCTGTGGAGCTACAGTGGTAACAGAGCGTCTCATAGAGCTAGCATCACGACCAGACTGAAGGAGCAAAGAAAGAAAAGGATGAGAATCACACCCTACACAAATTATTTCTGTGGCACTACACATTTCATTACATCATTACATTTCCATCTCATGCTCCCACTATTTTTTATTTCCTGATGATCAGTATATATTCTGCATATTCATGACTGCAGACAGGCAAATACATTACGCCTGCTAAGAATCCTAGTTGTGCCTGCTTTGTTGATCAGCTTTGTGGATCAGCTTTGTGATTGCTATCAATTTGCACCAGTTTTCATACGCTCAAACCTCTTAAAAGATCAGTGATGTATTCAAAGTATTAACTTGATGATTATCCATTTTCTGTACACCCTTGTCCCTTAGTGGGGTAAGGAGGGTTGCTGGTGCCTATCTCCAGCTAACATTCCAGGCGAGAGGTGGGTTCACCCTGGACAGGTCGTCGGTCTGTCGCAGGGCAACACAGAGACAGAGAGGACACACAACCATGCACACACAGACTCACACCTAGGGAGAATTTTAGAGAAATCAACTTGACAGCCATGTTTTTGGACTGTGGGAGGAAACTGGAGTACCTGGAGAAAACCCACACATGCACAGGGAGAACATGCAAACTCCATGCAGAAAAACTCCAGGCTAGGAATCAAACCCAGAACCTTTTTGTTGCAAGGCATCAGCTCTACCAACTGTGCCACTGTGCAGCCTGGCTTACAGCTAATGCCATCCTAAAAATTAGTTCATGAGAAAACTAAATATGATTAAGAAAATGAAAGGTTTCTACAATACAAAACAGAGAAAAGAAATAAACGTCATGTCAACATACTACATGGATGTCATCTGTAGACTGATATTTCTGGAATAAATCAAATCAAATCAAATTTTATTTGTATAGCACATTTCAGCATCAAGGCATTTCAAAGTGCTTTACATAATTAAAATAAAAACATGTGACGCAAACAGTGAGAAAGAGAAATAAAAAGAAAGTAATAAAAAGATAAAAAGAAAAGATAAAAACATTAAAAAAAAACCATCAAATACATTGAAGACATCAAAACCCACACTCTAATCCTAATTTAACCATAAGCAACTCTAAACAGGTGGGTTTTAAGTTGAGATTTAAAGGCACCCAGTGTTTCAGCTGTTTTACAGTTTTCTGAACTTGTATTATTTTTTATTTAGTATTCAAGTTATCACAAACTTAGTTTTGTCAAATTTTGGGCTTTTAGTAACTGGAACCTATAATCATCAACATTAAACTACTTAGAATATTTCTGTTTAATATTTTATAATAATTTACTAACACTCTGTGAACACAACTATTAAAGCTGTGTAAACTGAAACATGTAACTAACCATAACAGACTATAACTGAGATGTACAAAACAGACATCTGATCTGCATCTATAAGATGACCTTCAGAAAACAAAGTCAGGTGTTAGCCTACAATGGGCATCCTGTACATCTCCTGCTAAATAAAATGCACCTTAGCATGTGCTGGTCGTAAAAGGTGATAAAACTCCACAATAAGAACGTTTTTTGAGAAAAGGACAAACAAACACTGTCGCTGCAGAAAAAAATTGTAGATAACACTAGAGGTCATAGCAGAGGTTATAACAGGATTTGAACAAGTTGAGCACACATTAAAAAAAAGAAAAAATAAAGACGGGACATTGTAAATGACTGCTGTGGGGACCCATGACTCTGGCTGCACTCTAGAGTTCCCATCACAGTCCAGCAGGCTGCTTCCAAAAGGCCAACTTTAATTGAATTGGCTGAAGGATTTCCTGGCCTTCGTTCCAAAAGGTGAGAAAACGAAGACAGCAGGTCAGCATGCTCTGATATCTTCCATCCTTTCATTAATCCTTCACTGCAGATTTCCCTCTGTCTGTAACCCAATTACCATTCAGTGAATGTTGAGTCCAGATCCATTTAGATCAGCTATTCAGTAGGCAGTCGGAGGAAAGCGTCACTGAACCAATGGCTGGCAGCTGGCCAGGGTTTAATCACGTTATTGTACACTTCTCTGCTGTGAAAGCAGGCCAAACAACAGCGCTCCATACTTGAACTGCAGAGAGCACTTTAAAGGCACAAATCAATCAACAATGCTCAGGAATGAGCTGCTTCTTATATTTCTATGGATGTTTCAGCCTGAGTTTGAAGAACACGTCAACTGTTCGCATGCCAACTGAAACATAGAGAGGCTTCAAGGACAGGTTAATGTGTTAAGATGTGGTCAAATATTCAGCATGTCATCCAAAGAAAGGTTCAGAAGCCTGCTTGTTCATTGAGATCAGGTTTCATGACAAATAAAGCTAGAAAAAACTGAGATGATGAAAAAAGGAGAGAAAAAAGAAAAATATTTCTAAAACAGACACAAACATTTTAGATGGCACACAAACGTCTGTGTGTTGAACAAACTTCTGCATGTCATTGGTCCCCAATATGGCAGTTTATCAGGAGCAAACACTTCCAGTTTCTCTGATCTCAACGTTGAAATCCAGCATTCATATGACGGAGGCAGAGGTCAGCCCACAGTGGACAGATATTACAATCGCACTGCTGTGAATGTTCCCCTCAACATGATAATGCAAATGCTTCAGTTGGAGGGAGTTGAAACGAGATATGACTGCAGGAATAGAGAGGAAGTCCAAATATGGCTTCATGCAAGTTGAATGATGTTAGTGATTATCTTGTACCACAGACACCATGATAACTTCTTACATATAAAAGCATAGATACATAGACGAGCCCTGCTAGAATAGAAGACCAAAGGGTAAGAACGGGAGATCTTTTTTTTTTTTTTTTTTAAAGACTTTACTCTATATTTTTGGACTAAATGCAAATCCTTGTGTGTTTCAGTTAGATGTTTTGGCTTCAGAAGGATTCTGTTCACCAGTTTGAATGATAGAACAGAAGGTC